CTTGCTCCCTGTTGTGGGGTTTATATGGTCCGTGAAATCGAGCAAGGCAGGATTTGGAAGAAAGAGGTAAATTTTTCTTTTAAACTAGATTTACTTTTTACCTTCCTGTCAGTCAGTTAACAGAAGACATGCATCCTTCATCCCCTGGCAGGCACAGCTGCCTGCAGCTGGGCTGGGGCTACCCTGCCCGCCCAAGCGAGAAGGCAAAGTACAGCCCAAGGCACAACCTGGGAAACCTTTTGCCCTGCCCGTCCCCCACCGCATTGCCCCAGTGAGGAGCTCTGCTGCTGCGGGAGCGCGGAGCTGCCCAAGGATGGGGCTTTGGGGAGCAGCCGTCGTGCCACGCTGAGCCCCGGCACCGGTGGTAACTCACGCTCAGCCCAACACCGCTTCTGTCAAGGTGTTTTATGGCCAACGTGCGCAACCTGGCTCTGGAGCGCTGCTGGGAGGACAGGGGGATGCTGAGCACATGGCAGCAGTGAAGGCAGTGATGGCAGGGGTCTGACCTGCTGACTCACGAGCTGGGTGCTCCACACGTGGTTTCTAAGTAGTTTTGGAAGTACTTTGCCTCTGCCACATCTACCAGCGATGCAATGCGTATTTTGTAAGAGCTTAAAATATGTCAGCAAGACTTGGCCCTTGTGCATTTACTCAAACTTCCCCAGCAAATTACATAATGCCAACAACAGGAGGGAGACTGCGGAGGAGACTTTTGTTTGACTTCTGCTCAGGAAGAAGCCCAAGCTGCTGAACAGCAAGGACTTGGATTTTAATAAAAAGTAGGACCAAGCACATCCTTGAACCCGGGGCTCCCTTTGGTTCTCCAGTTGTAAGCGTGCCCTCAGCATCCCTCTGCGCCCAGCTGGCTCCCATGGGCTTCCTACAGGAGCATGGAGGAGACTCTCTGATCTCCAGAAAAGCAGAGGGAAATGCAACCAGCTGAAATGATGCTGAAGGAGAGGGGTTGGAATAATCACATGGTGAGCGTGAAAACCCTCTGAGACGCCTTTTCTCATTCCTGTGAGGAATGGGGGACCCCATCTAGTAGAAAATGGTTCACCTTATTGTAGGGATAATTTTCTGCTCGTTTAATTATTTGAATTGGTGCACTGCTGGGTCAGGTTTATCCCAAAACTGGTACAAGGGGAGCTGGAGGAGGATGCCAGCTCACCCCTGTGACAAGTGTTGGGGTTTTTTTCTTGCGTTTTACAGAAAGATGGGATCTGAAAGATGCAAGAACGGCAAATGCTCACAGCAGCTATCCTTCTGCTTGGTTATTTTTAATGTAACATTCAAGCAATTTCAAAGCTGCAATAAACATACCCCTTCTAGTGAAGCTCTTGTTCGCCTTTCTCTTATGGAGCTGATTTAGTAGGCAAATTTGTTTCTTCTACAATAACGTCCAAGAGGAAGTGAGTAAACCAGAGATGGTGACATCTCCCATGGGAGATTCCTGGAATCCAGCGCAAATGCAGATTGCCAAGAGACAGGTAAGAAATACGTAGAAATAATACCCAAAATCCAGCTAGGGCGCAGCAGTCATTTTTAAGTTTGTACAGCAACAGTATGCAAGAGTTTATCATAATTTCTGGAGAGAAGAGACCCAAAAAAAGACTCATCTGGGCACTAGAAAACATCATTACTTATGAGGAAAGATCAAGGGAATTGATCTTGTTTGGGAGGAGATCTATAACGCAGGAGGAGCGGAGGAGACGGAGCGTGTCCAGCTCCTTCCCTGGAAGGCAGGTCTGAGCTCACTCTCTGCACAGGACCTGAGTTTTTGGCTCACTCCCTGCACGGTGGCAGGGAGGGAGGCAGGAGCCCAGAAAGTCTTTGGCCAAGTGACGGATGACTCAGAGCCCTGGGCTCAGCGGGGGCCGCAGCTCCGGGCAGCAGGAGGGCAGCAGTTTCTCTTGGCTGTTACAAAAGCAGGATGTGACTGACAGGGTGCCGTTGCCACATGCTCGGGCCAAAGCTGAAGGCAGTGGTGGGAGGTTTGCAAGCGAGGCTTGGAAGTGTTGAGACTTCCTAGTAGGGCCCTGCAAATGCCGTTCCCCTTCGAGTAGGTCCGATCTGCACACAGAGTATTTTTCTTTGTATTGAAGTATTGAAGGCTTCCTTCTCATAATAGGAAGGGAAATGTGTTTTGCAAAATGAAATTGTTCAGGGATTTTCTCCTCTCTGCCCATCTTTCTCTGTTTTCTTCTTAGAAACTTGTTGTGCCGTATTATTCAAAGGATTAAAACACCCTCTCTGCTTGGGTGCATGGAAATGGCCGCTCTCCTGGGGTGACTGGGGACGAGTGGGGTTTGGGGCCAGGAGCTGAAGACGGCCTCCACCAGCCCCAACTGCTGCGAGACGGCGCTAGCTGGAGGTGACTCCCATGGTGAGTAGCTGGAGGTGACTCCCATGGTGAGCTCCTCTCCACTTTACGGGCTGGTCCCATCCCTGGGCTGCACTGCTGGAGGTCTCGTTAAGGCCACGCTGGTGGATTTTGGCTGTGCCGGGAACGCTCAGTGCCCTCTGCCGTGTGCCTGCTGGGGATACCAAGCTCAGGCTCTGCTTTGCCAGCAGGGCGGTGGGAGCGCGTGCCTCCTCCCGCAGAGCTGGTGCCTGAGGATTCGGCGCTGCTCTGGACTCGCTCAGCCGGTGGCGGCCGCCGCATAAGGTGAATGCAGCATCCAGACACAGGTCGCTGTTTGGCACGGCTGGGGCTTGCTCCCTGTTGTGGTGTTTGTATGGTCCGTGAAATCGAGCAAGGCAGGATTTGGAAGAAAGAGGTAAATTTTTCTTTTAAACTAGATGTACTTTTTAACTTCCTGTCAATCAGTTAACAGAAGAGATGCCTTCCTGTAAATCTTGCACTACTACCCCCACATCAGTGCATGTCTTTTAGCACATCCCTGGATGCAGAGGCAGATGTATACATTTTGTAAATGTTTCTAAATACATCATAGCCCAGCCCAAGGGGCGTCTGGAGAACCTTAAGATCGCCCTTCTTGTTGCCTTCGTTTATCTGATGCCACCTAGAGGTAGCTGACCTGCTTTGTCATCAGTTGCTTTGGAAAATATTTTTCACTTGTCTGAGATTACAGCTTTTTATTAATTATTTTTTTTAAATGAGGATCAGTTGGTGTCTTAACCAAATTTGGATGAACGGAAGGAAACAGAGAAGCCAAACGCAGTCCTTGGCAGAGCTGTAAGGACAGAGCCGTCGCTGCACGTGGCCACGAGGGTGAGGCCTACGTATGTCCGTATGTATGGCTGAAACATGGACGTTTTCCATTGTCTTTGCAGCAAGGCCAGGTCTTCCGCTTTGCGTGGCCCGCGCCTCCTGTTGTTGTGCCTGTGTTCTTCTTCTGAAGTTAAGCAAGAAAAAGGATCCTAGGAAGGAAGGTAGGGAGGGCACCCAACGGTTGAGGGGTAACCATGCCAGTGCCTGTCTGCGTTGAGGCCCCGGGGCGCTGTGCCCCTTGCGGGGAGCGGGCGGCGGGGTGAGACAGGCTGGGTGACAGGGCTCTGCTACCCTGCTCAGAAAGGCACGGCTGCTCCAGCTGCCGCACAGGGCTGCCTGCCCGCACCTGCCCACGTCCGCAACGCGTGGCAGCTGCGGCCATGCAGGTCTCGGGCTGTCCTGGGGGAACGGGGGAGGAGGTGGGATGGAAGGAAAAAAAGTTATTACCGAAGCTGTCGTCTTACTGATTCCTGAGCGAACGTGGCGCACCAGGAACGCTTTGGTTTGAGCCGTCTGAAGGCACTTGCTCTGCTTTTCCAAAGCGGCGACTTGGGTAACGAACAGGAGATGCCCTTCAGATGTCGGAGTGCTCAACACCAGGTTTCTGTATGCTCAGGCCCTTCAGAAGTTCAAGCCATTAGTGATGACGTAGGCACACGCAGTCATCCCACCCACAGGACAAGCCCAGGACTGTACCTGTGCTTAAATTATTATTAAAACCAACAATTAAATGTTTCATCTCTTGGAGCTGGGGCAGGCAGAGAAACAAACAAAAGCCCAACTGTGAAATCAAGAGTTTTGCTCCACAAAACAACCCTACTAGGCCATTACCCTTTTCCTTCTTTTGGTCTTGAGAAAGCATCTAACATCAATGGTTGTGATGAACTCGCTCTCTGGCTCCAATTTTAGCATAGGCAGAGACATCTCTAGCAGTCCTGGTTTGGAACATTTCTTCTTGTTTAAATATATCACTGAAATAATCTCAGATTTTCTAGCGGATGAAGCTGCGCATGTATCGCCATTACGTACAGGTACAAATAAAGGCTAGAAAGCAAACCTATCAAGAAAAATAACGGAGAGGAGAAGTTTTAGGGCTTGCTTTTTTACTCTTGTCCATCCTTGAATAGCAGCCTGCTGAAAATAGTTAGTCAAACAGTTAATTTCAAGGCATTTCAGACGCAGCGTAAATATTCAGTGACGATTTATTGTCTGGTCTTTATTATTATTACAAAAAAAGCAGATATCAAAAAACAGCAAAGATTTCACAAGTTCCCCAACAGTTTCACACAACTGAACTGCAGTAAAATGGTGAATGTAAAACACATGTATTTCAGTCCTGGCCCTAAACCTTCAATGGTGATCTGTGGTCTGGGATGCCCTGGGCTTTCCTAATTCTTCTTAAAGTACTCCTCTTTATTCTGTAACCCGATTCGCCCACTATCTAACACACGTGGCATAATACAACAGGAACGTGAACTGTCTGGTATCCTTTAAGACCCTGCAGATCTAGAATACAAAACATGGGAGCTTTGCAAGGATGGCATGGATACCAGTATGCGTTTCTCGGATTACCCCAGGCAGCCACTTTGTTGTGCTTGACATAATCAAATCACTTTCAAGTTGCTGAAAGGTGATTTGGTGTGCGAAAGCTGCTTTTTCTTCTCCTCTTCAGGATCTTTGCTCCTCAAAATAAAAAGAGTTCACTGGGCTGGGCTCCAGCATAAACGGACCATCAACCCGTTAAATCCTACCATCCAAACTGCATGATGGACAACTTCATCCTGTTGTAACTTTCCTGCTGCGGACCCAGTATTTGACTGATCACAAGGAACCTGAACAGGCCGTGAGATGCGAGGTTAAGGAAAATACTCAGCTCTCTGGAATGATAATCGGGGTCGGAAGGGAGCCTTTGCTTTCTGTCCTATTCACAGCCGTAGGTTCAGAGGCTGACCAAAGAAAACATGGTCCAGTTACCTATATTAATAGCTGCCCCACTTCTCAAATACAGATCTTGCGTCAAAACACTGCTTGGCTAGCGAAAAGAATTAAGACATTGCCCTAGGTCCCTCAGCATTTGTTTGGGAAGTCAGGTCTGGATCTGCCATAATTATACACAAATGCAAATCATCCTAAACATGAAGTTGTATATGTCGCTATACGTGTCACTGAAATGTTCGCGAGTACCAAATATTCCTGTTTGTTAGAAATAAAATTGCACCTTCATAATTTTCCAGAATTTAACAAAAAAAGAGATCACGATATGCATTATTTGTCAGGTATGAAAGAAGCAGCGAGAAGGCAAGCTGAGAGACAGGCGCTGCCCACAGGGCAGCAATGGCATTTGGTTGTTTGGGTTTTGTACCAGCATTTCCCACGCCGTGGATGGCAGACAACCGCTCGCTGCTGGATTTAAACCGTTTTCCTGGCAGTCAAAACGCGGACAATGGACCCTACTCCTCCAGCAGCCAGGGCCTGAGAAAAGAAACACGGCAATTAACACCAGGTCAAGGTAGCTACGGGTTGAAATGACTGAGCGGAAAGGTTTCCCGGCTGTATTTCAAATGAGCATCTCCCCGCCCTTTACATTAAGAGCGAAACACTAGCACTCAAGGTGCCAGGGAAGGATAACCGCATTCACTTTAAAGACAGCTATTTAACAAGCTTTTATTTCACTGCATAACCAAGTTGCAAATTTTGCTTCCCTCTAGGAAGGAAATTCTACTTCCATCCGCTTGAATCACTGGATTGAACCATTTTGTTTGCCTCCATCTAACGTAAAACCAAATTTTAACTGTAGAATCCTTACCCAAGGAATCAGAAGAAGTAGGCACACGAGCTCACAGGACCATACACTCCTCACAGCGTGAAATACGGCATTTCAGTTTTACCAGACAGAAAGGCAGTTCTTACCAGGCTCAGTGAGCCTGCCTCGGACCCAAGAACCTGCTACCATGGATAACCCAGGCAAGAGCACGCCCTATAAACGCACCTTCTCGTGCCACTGCAGCAGCACAGCGCTGCTGTTGTCAGAGGGGCTCTCAAAGCCTTTGTAGATGTACTTCATTAGCAGGTCAACACCGTTCTTGTCCAGCGACTGCACTGCCTTCTCAATGTCGTTGGCTTTGAAAGAGATGAGGACCTTCAGGACAATACTTTCTGCGCGATCCTGTCAACAAATAAGGAAGGCAGAGAGACATTCGCTCTCGTATAAGGTGCGTTTCAAATATTACTCACCTCTCCAACAAAAAAAACTAGATTTTTTTAAACAATTCTAAAATCTGTTTGAATAGGGCAGTTTGTGCACAAAGCTTGTGATAATGATGTATAACAGATATATCCTCCCAATGATAAACAGCATAAAAACTTAATGCGTTTGCCTGCTCTAGGTTTTCTGCCTCTCTGCTTGTGTTTGCAAATCTCCACCTATTAAATGAGGTTAAGGCTAAATAATAAATTTCCATATCGAAACTCAAGGTCTGGCAAATTCCAAAAGAATTTTAAGAATTAAGTACTTGACTGGCCTCCCTTGTCACCAGAGCCTTTTCCATGCCTTTGTACTGTTTAATGAGATACAACTATTATATTCCATGGAAATGCCATGGGCCGGCCTGGAAGAGGTGACTGCTGGAAGCCACATATTTTCAACACAGTCAACTTCAGTCCCAGGCACACAGAATACAAACTGGCAGCATTAATATTTTGCATTAATAACCATTTGCAAATTGATCTCGATGTCATTTCAGGCCCAGGAATGCGTGTGGCATGATTACAGCGGCAGATTAGCCATGTAATCAGCAAAAAGCAGCTCTTCCTGTTCATCCATCACTGAGGGAGGATGAAAGAAAAAGGTCTTGGGTTTGTTGGACTTTTGAATAATTCCATTATACAAATACTTCAAGCAGCTTCCTTCTTCAAAAATTATGGATGTCAGTTTTCTTGTTCAATTTAATATCCCGTAGCCGCTTGGCTTAGCGAGACCTCACATGAAGAACTATAAGTAAAAACATTACAAGTTCCATGAGACCAGCTAAAAATGAAGCCAAACATTAAAATTCAGTCACTCTGCCCTCTTCAATTCCACTGCCTTCAAAATGTATTCTTAATACATCAATATGGATCTAATGGAAAGAAATCACTAATATGAGGAGAAAGCTGTTCAGTCTTTTATACAGCACTATCCGTAACAAACAGCTGGATCTCAAGACCCTGTGCAAACTCTCAGAAAAGGGCTGGCGCTAGGTGAAAAAATCTCCACCAGTGGCCTGGTGAGCAGCACGGAAACGTGCCCGTGGGACTCTCCTCAAGCAGGGAGAACAGCCCTCTGCAGGCACTCACCATCTGGGCAGTTCCATGTCTTATCTGCCTGTTCCTCTCGCCACTGCAATCATGAGCCATTCAAGGTTTATTCTGGGGAGATTCAGAAATACGTGCATGCAGCAGGCTCCTATATTCTGTCACAGGGGGGAGTGCTTGCGTATTCTGAGGTTTTAACGGCTTAATTTTGATTGGATGCAATAACCATCAGTTCTTCCTTTTTTGTAGGTTCACGGTCTGGCTGCGCTAGCAGAGTTTCCTTAGTTAGAGGTGACTACTGCAGTTGTGGTTCCTTGATTGTTCAGTGCTGACTACATCTATGTGCTGCCAGGTCTGGATCGGGCACGGGCACCCGGTGATGTGTGGAGTTAGCCAGGGCACACAATATACAACCAAGCCACGTAGGAGAACATACAAAACCTGATCTAGCACCAAGTTAAAGGTACGTGGACAGATGACATCCGAGCTACGGTACTTTGAACAAGATTAAAAAGGCAGACGTCGTGGATGTTTGGACATCAGGGAATATCCTAAAAACCAGCTTTCTTGGCTGCTTCAAAGCATACCTGGCAGGGTGGGTGGGGTAGGGGTTATAGAAACAGGAAAAGATTTTTAATGAGTAACCCATGAGTGAGTTAGTTACTCTTTCACCTTCACTGCCTGGTTCTTTGTGTTGATAGGAGGGTTCTTCAAAGCTGCCTGTAGTGCGGCCATCATGTTTCCTGTGCCAGATGGTTAAGGACCAGACACCAAATATTTGGAAAGCAACAGAACCACCTCCAGGACAGCGATACTTGTAGCTGGCTTGTGCATGACTGAAAATACTTAAGGTTCAGTGGATGCAATGATCCCCTCAACAGATAGCACTGATTACAGTGTAAGGTAGCAATTACTAGGCCATTTGAGGAAGGAGCAGCATGAACAAGAAGCTGTACAGTTCCAGTATTGGAGAATACTTCTTGAGCCCTTTGTTGGATGAGGATCCAAGTAAAACAAATTCTTCTCCATCACTTCTGCAATTTGTAGCCCTTGAGAACAGGCCTCAGCTCGGCACATCCACCTCCAACAGCTGCCAGGACAGCGACCCAGCATCGGCCGGTGGGAAGAGCTGGGAAAGCTGGCCGTGGGAGTGGGCACACGGAGCTCTCCTTTCCGCCACAGGAAACCCCCTTCCTCCGTTCCTCTCGCCGCCTCCCCGCAAGACACCTCCCAGATACCGCGGCCCCGGGACACCGCCGCCTCTGCCGTGTGGGGGAGGAAGCAGGGCCTCCTGTCAGCCCCGGGCCCCTTCCTCCTGTCAGCCCCGGGCTCCCTCCTCCTGTCAGCCCCGGGCCCCCTCCTCCTGTCAGCCCCCGGCCCCTTCCCCCTGTCAGCCCCCGGCGCCCGTCCG